ATGAGAGTATAGAACAAGTTTCGCTCTACTACACACACACACACACACACACACACACACACACACACACACACACACACACGCCGCACCTTCTTGGCACTCACCACCACAACCCGCCGCCACAACCCGCCATGCTCATCACCTCAATATGCACGATACCCGTGGCCATCTCCATTGTGCAGGAGGGCAGCGCGACGCGACGCAAGATGGCGCGCAAGGATGTGGACACCGTCATGCACGACCTCAGCGCAATGAAGGATGACCAGGCTGTCCTCACAACAAAGTTCCAGGACATGCAGAGGTAATCATGCGCGTTGTACCGTGTGCCTTTGCTGTTGGTTAAGAAAGAGGGGAGGGGGCCGAGGTGAGGGTTGCTTTCTGTGCATGGGTTTTCGTACGATGACATCCCTATCATTATTCGCTGTCCAAACTCCGTTCTCACCACACATGCACATATGCACACATGCACACATGCACTCTCACACCCTACCTTTGCCCTCTGCACGGCTCGCCCTCCTCCTCCTCCTCCTCCCATTTTTAGGCAAAACACGGCACTGTGGCAGGAAGTGACGCAGCTGCGACACAAGCACGAGCACCAGCAACGCATGATCTCCAAGATTATGATGTTCCTCTCCCGCGTCGTGCAGCACCAGCAGCCACAGACCATCAACGGCCCCGCAGCAAAGCGCGCAAAGACGTGAGTGTACACCTCCCCCCCTTGCGTTGCTGTTCAGGCTGGCGTGTCTTGTGTGGGTTGAAGTCGTCGTTTGGCTATCCCACCTTGTTTGGTGCTGATGGTATTGTGTCACCCACACATGGTGCAAACACGCGCGCACACACACATGTAACATACACATGTAACATACACGCACACCTGTAACACACACATCTCGCGCGCACACACACACATCCCGCTCACACACACGCACACATACACGCATGTATCAGGCTTGCGCTGGAGCCGCTGTGGGATGCCGAGGACGAACTGGATGCGGACGGGATTGCGTCGCTCGACGATGTTCCGCTCGTACCAGGATCTGTTTCGGCTGCCGACGCCCTCGCTGCCGCACAAGCAGCCGTCTCTTCAGCCGTCGCCGCCACCATGCCTGCAAGCACTACCATGCCGGCAAGCACAGCCATGCCGGCAAGCACAGCCATGCCGGCAAGCACAGCCATGCCGGCAAGTATCCCGACGACGACTGTTGGCATGATGCCGACTGCGACAATGGCGGCAACCACGACGGCGCCACAGGGACTGTCGCAGCTCGCGCCAGCCAGCAACGGCCAGGTGCGATAGCGCGTGCGCTCTTGTTTTGCTGCATGACGGCACACATCATTGTTGTCCGGCACGGTGACACTCGCTTTGCACCACAGGCAATGTCCTCCTCCCCCCCCCCAAAAAAGCCTGTCATCCATGTGTGCTGAGCCTCACCTCATTTCTGTTCCTTGCTTGCACTGTCACATCGCCTACATCTTGTATGTCTGTAGACTCTTCCAGTGTACCAACCAAGTAGGTGTTTGGGAGGATGCTTGTGTGCCCATTTCCCGCCCTGTGTTTGTGCACGTGCTTGCTTGATGCGGTCATGCCTCGTGCTGCTTTGGTTTCCAATGCTTATTCGTCCTGACGCACACTCTTTGCGCCGCTTGTTGCGCCGTGTGTTTTCATCATCACGCAATTTGCACATTGCAGCCATCCATGACCGTTTGGTGGACCTCTCCAACAGCGAGCGCGTAAGTGCGCCTGTTCCCTCTGTGCCTGTTCCCATTGCCGCTGCTGTACTGTACATTCACCCGACAAGCCATCGTGTTGTCCTCACCCGCCTACCTGCTTCTCTCATGCTACTTTTCTCACGCTGCTTATTCCTCTTTCTTGCTTTCGCGCAACAACAACGACGACATTTGCAACACACACACACTTGCACACACACACACACACACACACACACACACACACACACACACACACACACCAACCGCAGCTGGCGGACGTCGAGAACATTGTTGGTCCGGAGCTGACGAGCAACGACGCGCGGCTGCAGCTGCAGCGTGACCGCCTTGCCCAGAGCGGATTTGACCCGAGCCTTCTCCACAGCCTGTGGGCGGCAGCTGGGGACGAAACGGCGCACGCACAGCACGTCGGTGGCGATGTCGACTTCACAGCGCTCACGCCGCCAACCACCATGGGACAGGTAAGCTTGTAATCTTCCAACACAACACGCATACACGTTTTTCCACGACATTACCACCACACCACCACCATCATCCCTGCGAACCCAATGGCAACTTGCGCGCCCCTATCTGCTGGCCCCTCTTGCTTCCCTACCTGCCCAAGTACATGCATGCAAAAAAGTACTTCCCCTCCCCCCCTTCCTCTCCACCCTTTGGCCCCTGTCTCCCCACCCTTTTTCTCCTTCGTGGCCCAACCACTATCCTTCTGCCTCATTCCCCTCTTTCCAGTATCATTACTTCTTCCCATTTCGGTGTCCTCGCTGTTCGTGTTCCAGCCCATTCGCTGTGCGTGCATGTGCACACGCGTGTGTTGTGCCTTGTTTCACCCCCCCCCAAAGCCAAACCACCTTCCAAATGCAAGGTGCGCACTTTTTGTGCCAATTTTTTTTTCCAAGTGGGGTTGCACACAACACAGCGAATGTCCAGCTTCCTTTCTCCAATCACGTGTGTGGATCAATTGTGTTTTCCGCGTGCCTGTGACATACCTTCAATGTGTCGCAACGTTTGTTCATTGGTCATGCACGCTGTTCCACACCTTTTGCCATTGTGTGCGGGTTTTCTTCACCCCTCCACACAGCTGCACTGCGCATTACTGCCTTGCCCATACCTCCGTCCCCTGGAACCCCCCCCCTCCCTCTCTCTCCGTCGTCGATATCTAGCGATCCCAGCACACATGTGTGAGGGGCGCATTGACTTGCTATTGGGTGCAAGCTGCGTGGCCCAACCGCGCAAGCACACCACGCAGCGCTAACCACTGGTGTAGCCAGCCGTAATCGTGTGCGTCCGTGTTGCGTTTTTCTCCAAACACAACACATCCATCCGCCGCCACTACAATGTGTACACTGTGCACGGCGTGCGCGGACGGTGGTCCCCCGCTTGCATTCCTCCTTCACACCCCCTCTGCGTCTTCTTCTTCATTGTACACCACTCGGTTTGTTTTGTGTTTACACATCAGTTCATGGCGGTCCCACCGCAACATCCACCACCACCACCACCACCACCACCATACCATCTACCATCCCTCCCACCATCATCACTTCATCAACAACTTCGGCACCTTCTCCCATATATGAAATCACAGTTGCATTGACCCGCCCCCCCCCTTTTATTTTCGGTTGTGTTCGTCTCTTCCGCTGTCTGTGTGCCTGTCTTCTTTTGTTGTTGTTTTTTTTTTGCTGTTCGTTCGCGGTCGCGGCGCTGTCACGTCACAGCGCCGGATCGCCTTGTCGTTGTCACCTTAATGACACTTCGCCCATGTCATCAGCAGGCCCAGTAGCTTGTATGTGCATTCGTCGCCCATGTTGGTGACCGTATCCTTTTCACGTCCCTTCTCTTTCGTGCTTCTGTTCTTTGGCTCCCCTTAACGATACACCTGGATGTCAAATCCCCTTAATGTGATGTTGCTGTTGTGAGCAACTCAAGCTGTCATTTCACATGTCTTAATTGACACCCGCTCTTTGCTGGGTTTTCGTGTTTGTTTACCGACTGTGAGGACAACCGTTACCTTTCGCATCTGTCGCTTCTTTGTCATCTCACCACCACTTGGCCCCTCCCGTCTTCCCGCTCTCTCTGTATCCCTGCCACCCTTTCATGCTGCCCATTGTTTGATTGCTCCCACCTTTTCTCCCAACCACTCTGCATGCATGTACGCGGGCCCACTCCTCGCTCCACCACCATCATCATCATCTTCATCATCATCATCAACTACAACCCCTCCCCCCCACCACGCAACAACAACTACTGCCACATCTCCACATCTCCACATCTTCATCTCCTCGCCACCTCGTCCTTGCGTTGCTGTTTTCGCCACAAAACAACACAAACCAAAGAGTCGTGCTTTGTCTCACTCGCTGTTGGGCAACAAACAGAATGTCATGTACTCTCCGCTCGACCTGGACGTCTCTGGCTCCAACGAGCCCTCACCACCCCTCCACTCGCCGCCTGCCACCGCCACCGCCACCGCTGCCACCTCTACCTCCGTCGCGACGTCACTTGACAGCGGCTTGCAAGCACACGTGGAGTCTCCAGCTGACTTCAACTCGCCGCCCGCAAGCTCCGCCTGAACAGCCACAGTCACAGCTGCCGCTGTTTTAAACCCCCACCCCCTTGTCTGTTAATCAAACAGCAGGCTTGGTCTTCCACTCCTTTGGCCTGCCATTATTTCGACACGATCCTCCCCTACCGCTATCACCCTTTTCACTTGTGTCCCTCGCTGTATTCGGCCTGCTTGTTCTTGCTTTTCGGACTAACATGCGCGTGTTTGAATCGAGAAAGAGCTGATGCCCCCGTTCCCCCCCCCCTTCCCTGAACGACCGTACCACTTGTACTAGTGATCTGTGTTCGTGCGTGTGAGTGTGCGCGATCCTCTCTTCTTCTTCGTATTGTTCTCAGCTGCTATGACGGCGCGAGACGGTTGTCCTCCTTCCCATGTTCCTGCCCATGGCATGTCATCATTGAAGCGTTTATTGCCCTGCTTCCATTTGTACCGTAGGCGCTCCTCTGCTGTAACTGTCCGCTGTTGCTTCCCATCATGGGGATCACGTCTTCGTGTTCCTGGCTGTACTCGCCACAGTCGGCTGTTCCGGCTGTGTTGCTTGGTGTGGGTGGTTGTTGTTGTTTTGTTGTTTTGTTGTTGCGTTTTGTTAGTGTCTTCCTCTTCAGATCACTGTTTGTATCCTTTCCCACCCCTACGCTGATGACTGATTACTTAGCCTTCCACGACTACATATTAAGTCATTCATTCGCCTGTTGTTGTGTTGTGTTCCCAGCGTGGCTATGCGCTGCCTTCATACCTTGTCCTCGCTTATACCTGCTGTATTTGCTTGCGTGCGTGCGTATGTGCGTGTGTGTGTGTGTCAGCGTGCATGCCTTGGCGTGGATGTGCGCGTGGTACGTGTGCATGCCTGTATTCGTCAGCCACGCCTCGGCAAACTGTTTCGAACATAGGCATTGTTTCTGTTACACATGAATGAACAGCGTGGCCCCACAGATACACCGCGTCAAACGAAGCAATCACAACAGTTCCCAAAGATGTTGGTCTTGTTGACTTTGCATTGGGCTCTATTGTGTTGGTCAACTGCTACCAGTCGCATTGACAGCAAACATAACCACCTCCAGCACCACCACAACAACAAAAACAACACACACACACACACGCACACACACACGGACGGCCGCCTGTGTCACACCGTAGGCAACACCACCAAGAAAGGTAACATAACAACATGCACACGCACGCACACATGCGCAGAGAAATAGTAGGAGAGACAACAATGCATGCACAGCTTCACGTGTGAGCGTGTGTGCAGTCACATGACAAGCACAATCGCGGGCGGCTGCCAGTTCGTGCAACAAAAAAAAACCGCATTGCATCACGTCAGTTGGTATCTGAGTCGTAGCCCCACTCGTAATCGGAGGAATCATCACTGCTGTCATCCTCAGCTTCATCCTGGATACAAGACGGGAAACGGGGGAGGGGAGTGGAGTCAGTGATGGGCCATGTCAGGGGCAGCAGCACATCAACAAATTATGACGGTTGACACCAAAAACAATGTGCCCCACCCTCCATGTCAAGTTTGAAGGCAAAATTACAAACCTCAGAAGTTGCAAAGGCGCCTCTTCGGTTGGCGATTGCTCTGTGGATGGCAGATGCAAGCTGTGCATGTGTACGTGTGGACGTATGCATGTGAATAAATGACAGCACCCATCGACAGGGAGTAAGTCGTGAAGCACACGAGAGCGGACCACACACACACACACACACACACACACACACACACACACACACACACACTGCCTCCAAGCGAAACGCACCGAATCACCGCGTCGACCCGGCGCTGGAAGACGGCCTTTCATTTCTTTCTCTGGTGGCGTGGACGGACTGAATAGCAAAATGGCAAGACCGCAGTTGTCACACGCATGTGTTGACAAGCAGATATCAGTTTTCCGAGTGGAAGTTCTGCATGCATTCAAATGCACAGACTTGCAGGTATTGATGGATGGATCAAGAGAGTGGCAAAAGGCAAACGACGCAGCACACATGCGAGTGTATGCTTTCGTACATCGACTTCAGGGCGCTCGCAGCGTTGCGGAGCTGGTCTTCGAGATTGTGCATCAGCACTGGCTGGCCAGTCTAAGCAACACGGTGCACAACACGCACAATGTTGCAGTTGAGAACAAGAAAGCGCAAACACGCCTGTACACGCAAAAACGCTTGAGCACACCCACATGCATAGGTGTGCTGGCACACGAAATAGACTGAGAGAGCACACACATACATACACACTCAAAGGGGGAGAGAGAGACAAACACAGACACACACACGCAGCCAAACACAAACACAGACACAGACACACACACATGCATACACACAAACATATGCAAACACACACCTGCGTGGGACGGCATGCTGGCGGCTTGGCGGGTGAGTTGTGCATTGGTGGAGCCGGCGGAGGCGGTGGTGGCAATGGAAACAGGGCATCAAGCGTTGTATCGGATTCATCCTCCACAATCGCGGTACCAACATCTCCACACAGGGAGTCTGCGCTCTCATTGTCATCATCGCCGTTGGTACTGCTGCCACCACCAACGATCATGCCTGCGCCATCTGCTTGTGAGCACTGGTCAGTATTCTCTGCGCGATGTGCTGCTTCCGCTCCGAGCGGCATTGGCCCATCATCATCCGCCACGGATTGCACGGTGCGCAGACTGGAGTGCCGTGACGATGAAGACGCCAGCGTCGACAGCGTTGTTGTTTGCGACTGCGGGCTTGACGACGATGCCTTTGCTGCCTGTGCACTTGCCATAATCTGCGCTTGGTCATCGCCCACATGCGTCCACGCCAACGCTGCTGTGAGGCTCGACACACCGTCACCGGCATTACCGCCTTCGCCAGGCTGCGGCGTGTCAGCGCTGTGGTCGCGGTGCTGCTGCTCTTGCTGTCTCAGCATATGGCCTGCGTGGCCTGCATCAATAATGTTGAATGTTGCTGGTGCGGACTTGCCTTCAGGACGGGTTGTTCTGACGCCACCACCTCGATGGCCAGCAACACCGTCGCCGGTCACACGCACGCTGCTGCTGCCGCTGCTGCTGCTATTGCTGTGACTGCTGCTGCTACCGCTGCTGCTGCTATTGCTGTGACTGCTGCTGGTGTCGCTGCTGTTGTTGCTGCTGTGACTGCTGCTGCTGTTGCTGCTGCTGTGACTGCTGCCACTGCTGCTGCTGTTGCTGCTGCTGCTGCTGCTGCTGGTGTCGCTGCTGGTGTAGCTACCGCCACTGCTCATGTCATCCGGCGCGCAGCCTGTCGTGGGGTGGCAGCCGTCCGTGGGGTGGCTGCTGCTTGATCGCCGTCGTGTGCGCATGTGGTGCTGCACCCTCTCACGCGGCAGCCGCACGTATTTGCTGCCACGACGCACGAGGGCGTCGCCTGGGTAGTCGAGCGGCTTCTCCCACACGCTCTCGCGCGTGATGCGGTTGTAGTAGTACACCTCGCGACACACAGCGCCGGTGGCATCGTCAATCAGGTCAGTGGTCAGCGCACACCACACGTACATGACCCTGCCGTCCTTGTTGGTCTTGCTGGTGGTGTTGGTACCGAATTGGCCTGTCGACCTGCCGCTCGCGTTGTACGACGTGACAGCGGAGGAGCAAGGCGTTGCGTCCCGCCCTGGCGAATACTGGCGGCGCTCACCATGCGAACGACTGCGCACGCGCTGTTCCTGCTCGTGCGCGTCAAATTGCTCGTGGTTGCTCGTGTGGTGTCGGTCCTCTTGCGGATGATATTGGCCGAGGGAATCGCACCGCTGCTGCTGCTGCTGCTGGTGGTTCTGTTGGTGTTGGTGTTGGTGTTGGTGTTGGTGTTGGTGTTGGTGTTGTTGTTGGTGGTGGTGGTGGATCTCTGTGGGTGTGGTGGGGGCTGGTCGTGTGCGGGCCGAGATGGGTCGCTCGTATCGCCTTGAAGGTTTTGTGTGGCGCGGTGGCACAGGTGGCACAAACGTGGTTTCGTGTGTGCGGTCGTTGTAGTAGTAGGGCTGGTTGTTGTGCTCCGGAGAGAACGCCTTGTGCCAGTGCGCAGGCAGTTCTGGCGTGCGTCGGCCGGGGCTTGGCGAATGCACTGCCTTGCCTTGCAACATGTTGTCGTAGCACGCATCCTCAAGCATGGCTGGCGGCGGCGGCGGTGTTGCGCTGTGCGTTCGCCGCGAGTGAGGTGGAGGCGGTGTGGTCACACGCACGCCTGCTAAGTTACCGCTGCTGCCACTTGTTGGGGTTCTTGGGGAGCGCCCGCGCGGAAGTGGCGCGGGGGACTGCTGCTGCTGCTGCTGGCAGTGTTGCTGATGGTGATGTTGTGGAGGTGCTGGAGACACTGCACCGTGTTCACTCATGTGCGGCTGCTTGCGGCGGCGCTTGCTGATGCGTCTGTCCGTGAGCGGGTGGGTGAGGAGGATGGTGGTGCCTGTTGCCTTGCACACGAGCGGCTTTGTTCGGTAGAAGGTGATCAGCTCTGTCAGGCGCGAGAAGACACGATTGCTGATCTGAAACGTCGGCACAGACTGCGGGCCGTAACTGGCGATGATGCGAAAATGCTTCACTTCGCCTCTGCCACTGCACATGACCAACATGCGTTCATGTGAGTGTGTGTGTGTGTGTGTGTGTGTGTGTGTGTGTGTGTGTGTGTGTGTGTGTGTGTGTGTGTGTGTGTGGATGCATGTTAGGGGGGAGGGGCACGAATGCGCTTGCATGGTGTTGAGGTCTTGTGGTTGAAATTGAGCTCCAAGAACAAAAGCACTTGCAATAGCAACACCAGGTACATACGCTGCACATGCACGAAGCGTACAGTGTGACGTACATGACGGAAAGGACGTAGCATGAGCTGCTTTCGCTCGGGCGAACCATGTAGCAGCCGCTGTCGTTCTTGTGGCGTTCAAGCAGACTGATTGCCTGTGTGTGTATGTGTGTGTGTGTGTTGGCAGGAGGGGTGGTGGTGGTGGTGGTAGAGATGAGAAACGTCATTCGCAGATACTCACATGTCATTGCAGGCACGTACACACACAGACACACATGCAGACACATAGACACACACACGCACTCACAGCATACCTCCTTGCGCCGCAGAATGTGAATGCCAGGTACACCCTTGGGTGGCGGCGAGTCGGAGTAGGCAATCTGGTTGCGATGGAGTGCAGGAGCGTCAATGTGAGCTGAGCCGTTGTGATGGCGTGTGTGGAAACGAAGGCAAGAAACAGCACGTGTGCGAGAAGGAATGGGGGAAGGCCGAGTAAAGAAGGAAGTGCGGGATGCCCATACCTGGATCTCCTCAAACTGCACGTGTCCAACCTCGTCCTTCCACTCAATGGGGACTCCAGAGTAGAACAGGAACACAGAGCACTCGTTCAAGTCAACCCTGGTCGTGGCCCGGCGCGCATGCGCATACGTGTCATTGAGAGAGAGTGTGTGAGTGTATGTGTGTGTGTTTGAAGTGAGTGAGTGAGTGAGTGTGTGTGTGTGTGTGCGAGAGAGAGTGAGTGTGTGTGAGTGAGTGTGTGTGTGTGTGTGAGCGAGAGAGAGGCAAACGTGTAACCATGTTTGTGTCCATGTGCGTTCGCGCGCAATGGACCCAATGTGTGAGGACCAGACCTCCACTCACTTGAAGCTTGCTGCCATGGGTTGCACAACCTCGCGCACCGTCTGTTTCGGGTTCCACGCCTGTAGATAACGACAGGCGAAGCATGCACAAGTTGTGTTGGTGAGAAACAAAGCTAGTGAGTGGGTGCATGTGTGTGTGTGTGTGTGGAAGCAAGGGGAGGGGCAGTCTAGGAGGAACGGCAAGACACACACACACACACACACACACACACACACACACACACACACACACACACACACGCACACGCACACGCACACGCACACGCACACGCACACGCACACGCACACGCACACACACAGGCAGTGAGGACGCACCCGACACATGCGTGGGCTGCCGAGATCGTCCGGGAAGTGAACGTGGATGTAGAAAGCTGCAATGGTTGATGCACAAGAGGTCATTTCATTGAATGTGAATGTGTTTGAACGTGAGTGTATGTGTGTGTGTGTGGTGAGGAGAAACAACGAGGACACAACCGAGCGTGGCTACCAGCCACCAAAGGGTCACAACTCTTGCTCCTCCAAAGGCGGTAGCAGGCCGCCTTTACCTTCATCTGCCATGCCGACGGGTCACGAGCTTGATGTTGGTCTGGGTCGAGCAATAAGCCGGAAACCTTTGAAGGTGCTTGCTTGCTTGCTGTTGACGTGGCAACGCACCTGCGTTGGATGGAAGCCAAGAAAAGGGATGGAGAACGGGGTGAGCGTTGTACAAACGAAGCAGAGCAATCCACCGGTGTGTTGGATGGCAATGAGTCGGATGGCAAGTGTACGCACGGACAAGTTGGTACATGCACACACACACATGCATGGCGCACCTGGGCGTCTCTGCGTGCAAGGGATGGGGGCGAGGCAGGGGGGTCTGCTGAGATGCGACACAGCTGGCTGCTCGCTGCGGTGAGTTGGCGGTGGCTGAGGGAGAAGATCGAGGGCGGACGTGGTGATGTCGTGCGTGGGAGCGAAATACACACTCATACACACACACGGAAGGAACGGACAAACACCGCGGTCAGTCAGCAAGAAGGAATGCGATGCGTGAACGTGTGCGTCGTGTCTGTGTGCGTTTGGGGAAGGGGAGGGAAGAGGTGAGACTTGTTGCTTGCTTGCTTGTTGCTTGTTTGTTTGTTTGCTTGCTTGTGGGTCGCGAGCTGCTCGCGCACACTTGGAAGCGAAGGTGCTTGGATCTTGCTCACTGCACCAACACCAGAGTCACCAACACCACCAACCACCGGCCGAAAAGTTTTGGCTGTTGGCAGGACCTCTGTAACGACTTCCTTCTGCTTCTTGCTTGTTGTTCGGAATCGCAGCGGCAAAACCTGAAAACAAGTTTTCCGGACACAGTCGTCTCAAAGAAGAAAGAGACAAGCAACAAGAAGGAAGCACAAGTGACGCACCTGTAACCGAGCACGCCTTGGCCATGGAGGAGGCGGAGAGGCAGCGACTGGAAGCATGCGCAAGCGAGATGGTGAAGGCAATTGAGACGGGCTTCCCCACCGATGTTGAGGGCATCGACAAGGTTTGTGTGGGTTTGGGCGTGTTGATGTGATGTGAGCAGACAACGGGCAGTGCCATCATGGGATGCACACGCAGGCTGGGTTGCTCAATCTGCGCACTGGTGACATGTTCACATGCGTATACACACACACACACACACTCACACACACACTCACGCACACACACATACACCAGCTCAAGAAACGAGTGGGCGCGGAGTTGGAGTTCCTGCAAGGGTTGCGAGGTGCTTTCGATGACAGCAGCAGCAGCAGCAGCAGCAGCAGCAGCCAAGACGGCGACCTGTGCCAACTTCAGCAACACGAAACGGAAGCAAAGAACGAGGGGAAGAAGAATGAGGAAGAGCAACGGCGGACACAGCGACGACAACTGGCAGCAGCAAAGCTGGCAAGCACAAACTTGCCGCACTTGCAACAGATTGTCGCATACGTCCAAGACCATCGCGACGCCGTGACTGCCGTTTTTCACAAGGTGCCATGTTTTGGCTTTGTTCTTGCACACGCACACACACACACATACACACACACATACACACCTACCCACACACACACACACACACACACACCCGCTCTCTACTCACACAGCCTGCCCTTACGTTGTGCTTGTCATGCCACACATGCGTTCCCACGACTTGATGTGTACTTTCATACTACTTCCAGGTCCGCGTCAGGTCAAGGAATGGCGTTCTTGGAGGCGTTGTGGACATTGTTGCCGACGGAGGGCGCTCTTGGTTCAAAGTCACTGCGCGGAAGGTGTGAGCTGGTGAAGGGGATGCAAGGCGTGCGCGTGCGCGTGTGCCAGTTGTGCGCTTCACAACAGCAGCAGGATGTTCCTGCGATTGCTCAGGCACACACGAGCGTGTCGTTGTTTAACTCGTGCGCCGGCATCAAATCACCATGTGCACAATTGCAGGCCATTGCACTTCAGCTGATATGGGAGGGCCGTGCAAGCTTCAAGAAGAAAAGCATCGTGGATCAAATCATGGTAGCAAAGATGTGGTGAACAAGAAGTGCGGATGCACGTGAAATGTGTGTTTGTGTGTGTCTCGCTGCTTGCTTCAGATACAGCCGTTGCCAGGCCCACTCTTTTGGTTGTTCATACGCATCCATTGTGCACGTGCCTTGCATGTGTTGATTGCGTGCTGTGTACAACTGCAGGAGCTGCGTGACCTTGCAATGCAGTGTCCAGTTGGGTCCACATTCCCCTCTCTCACAGTACGTTGCATTCTTGTCCGCCCATGTTGTGCGCGTGTGGGTGCGTGTATACGCGTGTGAGGAGATGGAAACGCGTGCATGTGCGCTTTTCGTGTTCCTGCGTCAGCGTGGATACGGCACACATGAATGTGTTTCCGTATGCGCGTGGGTCGCAAAGGTCATGTTTGATACAGTGGCAATGCCGTGAACACACACGTCCTGCATTGCACTGTGCTTTGTTTTGTCGGTTCAGGCCGTCTTTGCCAGCGGTGTCACATCTGAGATGAAACAGCACCTTCAAGGTCAGTTGCCCTTTGCAAGTGCGAGTGTGCGTATGTGTGTTCGTGGTCGCCATCAAGCAGCGCCATGCTGGAATAAACGCCGCTTTTCACCGCCCTCTTCTTTCTTGTTCTCTCTCTCTCTCTCTCTTTCCCTTCCATCCCTCCTCTGCAATGTCTGGGTAGGTCTTGGTGTGCATGTTGCTGGGGCTGTGGTGCCATATCAGCGTCAGGAGGAAGACAGTGACGACTCGACGTGTGAAGAACACCACCAAACTAGCACCAAGGGTGGTGATGCTTGCAAGCAAGACACACAACACCAAGAATGCACCCAGAGCCCAAGCGGGGAGCTTGCACAGCGGTGTCTAGCAGCACACGACTTCATGCACAATACAGGCACTCACGCAATCGGTCGTGATGCCGAGGCAAGGCAGTTGTTTGAGAGCGTACTTGCGTTGGACACGTGCCGTGTTGATGATGCAGCACAACAGATGCGCCAGTTGCTCCAAGCGGCAACCCTATCACCACCGCCACCACTGCCACCACAATCGTCAGAGGATACCGGCGTGGAGGGATGCGTGGGCTACACCGCAGCTGTGCGAGCGTGGCTGGACAACCAGGGCGGGCGTTCACGTTTTATCAACCTGGACATCTCATCACTTGTGCTCTTGATATCAGGTGTGTGTGTGTGTGTGCGTGTGTGTGTGTGTGTGTGCGTGTGTGTGTGTGTGTGCTGACAATGGGCTGTGTGAGGTGCTTTTCTTCGGCGGCACTGTACTTTAACCCACGCATTTACGTGCACACATGCTTACACACATGCTTACACACATGTTTACACACACACACACACACACACACACACACACACACACACACACCTGCGCGCGTGCCAGATGTGAGCTATGGGCTGTCACCTGCACGAACGTTGTGCGATCCGCTCCTGGTGCAAATGGCGGAGCAAGAGGCCGAAAAGGCAGCAATGCCGGGCGTGTTGACCCACATATGGGGGCGACACCTGCTTGTGTGTCAGACAGCGCGTGACGGGTTCAACTCCATTGTGCGCACCATTGCTGGACCCCGCGAGCGGGCAAGAGCGAAGGTAGCTTTGTGGTATATGCTCGTTGATCTTTGGAACAACCACACGTGTGATGATGCTTTGTTGACGTGTGTGTGTGCGTGCGTGCGTGTGCGTGCGTGCGTGTGCGCGTGCATGTGATGGGTGACGCTTCACATGCTGACTTGCTCGCGTGCGTTTGCATTGTTTCTCAATTTGTTGCGTGTTTGCAAGGTGCTGCTGGAGCGCTGTTCATTTGTCGGCGACCTCAAAGCCCAATCTGTGGCCGCACTCCCAGTGAGTCTGATTGTGGGCATGTGTGTATGTGCATATGGATGTGCATGTGTATGTGCATGTGGATGTGCATGTGTGAGCGTGTGAGCGTGTGTGAGCGTGTGTATGTGTGCGTATATGTGTGTGAGCGTGTGTTCAAGTCGTCTCATCTCATTGAAACACTTGTCTTTGTTGTTGCTCAAAACACACAATACACACATGATAATGATTCACCTCTGCTCCTGAATCTCAGTTGACAGGCAAAGTGAAGCGGCGAACAAAGGTGGACACACCAGCACCAACTTACTGGGATATGCGCGTGCACCTACCGAGCAACACGTATCAGCGTGTGGGCGGTGCACACTCGATTGCCATGCACGTACGTGTGTGATGCCAAGATGATTCCGCGTCTTGCCTCATGCATGTTCCTTTGCTCGCGACAGGCCATCTTCTCCTGTGGAGCCGCCTTGGACGTGCCAACCTTGACTGCAAACAGCGCTTTTCTTCGCAGCGCACTTCAATATGGTGCGCATGCAAACTTGTGTGTGTGTGTGTGTGTGTGTGTGTGTGTGTGTGTGTGTGTGTGTGTGTGTGTGTGTGTGTGTACTGATACGAACTGATGCGAACACCATTTCCTCACTCACACACGCGTGCACACCCCATGCTCAGGCATGCATCTGCTTGCGGCTGAGCACCCAGGGCGGGCGTTGACGGAGACGCAAGTTGATCGGTGGATCGCATTTGGCAAGAAGCCGAGAGTGAACGAAGACCATTACCATGCACGCGCACGCGAGTTAATGACGCACAGACGCGAGGAGAACGACGCAACAACGAAGATGGTCAAGGAGAGGCACCCTCACAAAGGAGATTTATCACAACATGATGGAACTATGCCATGATGCCATCCGCGCTTGCGTCGCAGTCATCTGGTGCTGCCATGCGCTTGTTCCTTTGCTCGCATGTGTTGTGTTGTACTCGTTGAAGGAAAGAAACGGATCACAAAAAGGCAAACACAGCCAGGTCAACCATCAACTGCACTATCACACGTAATTCAAAGCAGCAGCAGACCATCAGCAACAACAACAACAACAACAACAACAACAACAACAACAACAACAACAACAACAACAACAACAACAACAACAACAACAACAACAACAACAACAACAACAACAACAACAACAACAACAACAACAACAACAAC